AGCATCGTACATAAACAAATAAGGATAATAAAAAGAAGTCAACTAACCTCCTCATCTTTTGGTAACTTGTGTGAAAGATCTTTGTGTTTAACATCAGATATACTAGTCACACCTAACGGGGAGGAAACAAAACCATTTAAAATAATCTCATCTCACCACACCTGTACATGCACTGAGTGAAATTGTTACTGAACGCGGAACTGAAGTGATGTAACGTAACATGAACGACACTATGAATATGCAGTTACAAATAAATAAATTACAATATTTAGAGAGGAAGCTACATCAGCCTTAGCTGCTTTTCATGTGGCTTCTCTATCCTGGTCGAATTGGAATTTGGAGATGCTGGTTTTTGTGGAAGGGGGAAAACCGGAGTATCCGGAGAGACACTTGGAGCAAGGCGAGAACCAACAACAAACTCAACCCACACGTGGCACTGGGTCGGAATCGAACCTAGGCCACATTGGTGGGAGGCGAGCGCTCTCACCACTGCCGGCGCCATCCCTGCTCTCCTAAACAGCAAGTTTATTAGGGTGCATTTCTGTGGGGAAATCCAAGATTGGATTTTTAAATCCAAAAACGGATTTGCGTTCCTTTACTTAACAGATTAATCCAGGATCACTCGGATCATGGTGCATCAAAGGAACCGATAAATCCTTGCTCAGAGCTCGGATTCTTCGGTTCCTTTGAAGAACAAATCACAGAATCATCTTCACGTTCAAAGCAAAATATCTTAGACGGTGTCGGAATCATGCAGATTTCCCTTCTGTTATAAATTAAACATGCCAGCAGTAAGGCTGACGCTAGTTTCTTGAGTTCGAGTCGCATTATCGTTTATAATAACAATGTCGTCTCGACACCTTTTTTAAAGACCGACAGCTACATATCATCACACAAGCGTGGCTTAACTTTGTGCCACCCAACCGTCTAGTCGTCATGCAAATGATGATTACATTGTTTCAGTAAATCAAAACTAGATTTCTTTTTAGCATTTTGTAACAGCCCGTTCTGTTTTGAGTAATTTGTATTATATCTTTATACGACCTGATACAGCTAGGAAGACATAAAGCCTGTAAGGTGGGATAATAGATCGGCCAGCTGGGCGAGCTGAGTACATACTTCAGGTGAAGACGAACTCCCAGTGTGGGTATCAGTGCGCTCGAGTTGCCTACTCGCTTGGCTTTCCGAGTTTTCTCACCCTATACCTGACCGAGGAGCCTTTTCACAGTCACAGACTAGGGAGATATATTGCCACGACAACTGTTCGTTTAGGTTGGCGGAATATGAAACCAATCCGAGACACACTACAGCCGGTTACGATGCCTTAGTACTGTAACAGACGTATTGTAACCATATTACAAGTTCAATTGACAATAGAACCACGACTACAGAAATGTCAGCTACTGTACACAACTATTTAATTCGGTAGAACTTGTGCCTCTCAACGTCAAAGAAGGGAGTAGGGGCAGGCAGGGGGCGGCGGGGGCAGGGGGGAGGGCAACTGAGCTTGTGAGCGATATTTACGATATTGACCGAGTACATTTTTACCCGACCCAAAATATGAGGGAGAAATATCCTCTTTAAGGTAATCTGAAAATAACGTTAGTTCATTCAATTGACGTTTCTTGACAAAATAATATCACAGGCACAGCACCTCGCACTAATTTAAAGTGGCATCTAATTGCCATCGTGATCGAACAAGGAAAAGACATATCTGATAAGGCCGATAGCAAAAGGTCCTTCCGCGAAACCGATATTTACTTAACTTGACTGAAATATTCCTCTGTGCCAGAAATTCGCAGAAAGTAAACAAGAACCGTAGGGTTATCGAGCCTTGGAGAGCTGCCATGTTGATAACAGTGAAGGTCTTGATAACATAACACGCATTTGTTGCACGAGTTTGTAAACAATTTAAGAGTAAAGAAAACTGTGAGGTTAGAAATGGAAGTTGAACGATTTTAACAGGACTTAAATGTCTTCTTTTAACCCTGAGCGTTTTATTTCTAGCTTCTTTAAAAAGCCTTCGAACAAATATAGGGTGTATAATTAATGCTACAACACCCAAACGCACTCCGCTATATGTGGGAAACTACATGTTAACTTCTGTGATTGTGAATGAAGTCAGCACTTATTAACTCCGGCAGACGTTGTGACAAAGCGACGAAAACAAAACTTGTTAGTAGAAAAGTGGTGACAGATAACACCTGTATAAGTTGGCCAACGTTAACTCAAAAGTCTGAGTCATAGTTCTCCTGTCGCCCAAAAGTCGGCGAAGCATCTGAATAATTAATGAGTTATTGTTACGCTGTGCTAATTTGTTTAAACATCATAATTAGAGTTTGGTCATTCCTGAACATGACATCTTTTAATTGCAAAACGGTCGGCTAGAACAGTGTCGATAAAATTACCATGCCAGAGTGAGGTTTCATCTTAAGTGTAGAACTTGGTTTATTTCCTTATTTTTCTCCTTGCAACTGATTGTTATTAAAATGCGTGCAGTTATTGGGGCAAAAGAACATAGGAAAATGCGTTCTTAAGAGCAACAATGTTGACCAAAAGCACACTTTTCAAGCTGCAGAACCCGAGTTTGCGGAGCTAGAACACGAATACCACTGCTTGGTGTGTTATTTTTCAGTTTTTGAGAAAACAGTCTAATTTTGCGGGGCTTTGTGTTAACGCCAAGAAACATGAAAATAATCCAGCACGTGTTGATAGTCTATAGAACCACCAGGTATCTTGCAGCCACGAGGTTATTCCCCGTTTCTAGGCTTACTACCAGCAAGGGTATAATTCCTATACAGTAATGCACTGAGAGGAAAAAGTTAGTATGGGAAGGTTTGCCCGCTACTGTTTACGAATTCTGCCACACTTACGATCACTGATTGTAACTGAAGTATAGTAAAAAGAACAACAAAACAAAAGTGTTTTTTGTGTGTTGCCAACAAGCGGGAGATCAATGAGGAAAGTGGCGTATCCATGTCACAGTTTTGACTAAAAACAACAACACTTAGTGTCAAAACCCCGACCTTTCAGTCGAGCGAAATCTGTCAGTTTAAAAGTGGATGCTCGATCTAAACATTAGACAGTTTCTTGGAGTCGTGTACTGCACTCCACTGGAATAAAAAAGGAACATCAGGAGCTTGATATAATTTGGAGGTATTATCTCGCTACTTCGTAACACTTATGCAATACTTCTATCATTTCTCCGGCCAATAACTGCTAAGTTTTAAGTTTTTACGCCTGTATAATTGTCTGGTCCGGAGGTTATAGAAGAAAACGACAAAAACTGACGGAGAAGAGATTGTTTTCGGAGGCTGGTGACACATTCTAGTAAGTAGACTGTTACTAAGCAGGATTCGCACATTCCAAGACTAACAACACATCCCTGAAACACGGGAGAAACTAACTGGCAAACCACCTAGACCTTTACTTAGTACCTTTTGCTTCCTGTTGACAGATTATGAGATTCACGATGGAATAAAAGGCAAACGGCTTCTTACTTTTACTTTGCTATCGCTACAGTACTATCGGTATTTGACAAAAAATTGCAACACACTCACCTGTTACAAGAAAAAGACTGCCAACCAAAACAAATGCCCTCTTCCTTGTTAAACATCTTGGAAGCATCTTTACGAAGCAGATATCAACTCAAACTGCGGGGGAAAAAGAGCAAATATTTCACTCTGTCAGAACATACTGCGTAGTTTAGAGATGCGAATTTTCTCGGCATGTCGTACCGGTAAAAGTGAACAACAGAAAGCAAAAGAACACGGACACCTCGTGTAACGGAGAAACGTAAAACAAACACATTATGTACTAGACATAATAAGACTGCATTATATCTTGGAATATACTCGACGAATAAATACTGCGTGGGAGTAAGTCAGGGTTGTGCTATCATAACACTCCACAATCTCTATAGTCATACTGTAGCAAAGCAAGGAGACAATGCGTCCACGTTTGACATGAATCGCTATCCGAGCTGGTGCGGACTCTTTACTGACATACGCAGGGGAATTACGAGTTCACCAACGCTTCATACGTAGCAAATCCAGGCTTGTTAAGCCTTGCTTTACATAAAGAAGTCCATATTCAATTGCAAATGATGCCGCGGAAAAAGAAACATTCCCGGAGAAAGTGGAATCAAAACTCTGCTGGTTGATGCCAACAAGCTTATGTGATAACACGTGAAGCAATCTAGTTCAACTGACGGTATCTCACCATTAATTGTAAGCTGCAAAGTTTCCATTGGGCTCCGAAGAAAGCTCCTTGTTACATTGTAACACGTTTATACGAAGTGTGTGAGAAACTTGGCATTGGATTCAAAAATATTGTTTTATTACGCAAGGAGTTAATATTTCATGAACGCCCAGGATAGAAACACCTGTGAGAAGATATGTTGATTCAAGCACCGCACGGTACAATAGAATGGACTTGGCCCATATCACTACATATTGTCTCTCCTGCCATTGTCAACGAAATAATAACAAACACAAGCTGGAATCTGACCAGCTTTGCGTTCAAGGAACATTCTATGTAAACACTTTATAAACTGGTTTGCTTTTTTCACCTGTCAAACGTCACGATGGTTTTTTTTTTTTTTTTTTTTTTTTNATGGTTTTTTTTTTTTTTTTTTCATTTTTTGCCGCAAGAGCAGTCTTAAGTCCTTTTCTCCAAACTTTTAAAACATCTGTTTCTCGGATCATAAAAATTGACACATGAAACGTTAAAAAGCCCCAGGAGACTTAGGTGGTAAGGGTTGGTTTACCGTTATCTAAATGGCAATGACTTAAGGGCTCCACATCCGGAGGCCTGGGCCAGAGCCTAGATATGCCCTTGGGGAAGATATCTTCTCAGTGCTTCTCTCCATTCAGGTGCAAAAATGGGCACCGGTAAATTATTCGGGCAACCTGACAGAAAGCTTGGGGCAATCTGCGGTGGATTAACATCCCATTTAGAGGAACAAGAGCAGACGTTCTTGTCGGGTAATGGTAAGGAAATTGAAGTTAAGTGACAACCTAATCAGCCAGCAGACACAAAAGAAACATTTTGCAATAACTGTTATCTTAATTATAAATATTTGTCTACCATTGTGGATCGCCGTGATATCGAAAGATGGCCTGTTTACAGGCATCCTTCACAGCCAGCAATAATGTATAACTTTGCACTTCCTGTTCATAAGCTGTGAAAGAAAGCTCCTATTCACGCTCGGTCATGTTCACGTTTCGCACCTCTCTTTCGACAAACCATGAGGTACAAAAGGAAATACTTGCAGTCTAGGCACAAAAAGACGATAAAAACAACTTGTCTCCACTGACATGCAGTAAATAATTAAAGAAGTTTGCCTACGACCTTGGGAAAATCGGACATTTTATCTCCTGCGGCTGTTTGTTTTGCCAACATTAATTATCTGTAAGAAAACAGTCATTACTCGTTACTCATTACAATTGAATTCATTGACACGAGGAATATTGAGCAATCACAATGCAACACAGAATGTTTTTTTCTTTCATCAGAAGGCCACCAGTAAAAGGCTTAGGCTGAACCTGGTGGTGTGTTACTGGCGAGAGGAGATGAAGCCGGGGGGTGCTCCCATAGATGAGCCATATAAGTATGTGCCGCGGGACCGTGTAGGGTTTTTGAGGCTCTCGATTCTTAAATAGGGTATCATTTTTGCCCCTGTTGCCCCTGTAATACTTAAATAGGTTACCTAAAAACTGTATCAGCTAAAACTGCAGTGCGTAAATCCCCAGCTATTAAAACGAAAGATCCGTATTCGTAAACCTCTAGTGTTATGGGAATTAAATAAAGTTGAACCGCTGGCATCATCCTTAGTTTTTGTTTTTCTCTGGAACAGGGTGTCATTTTTCGGGTTTGTGCCATAAGTGGAGCATAAATTTGCGTTTGCTTCATCCCTAAGTAGGGTCAGGGTTTAAGAAACACACCTATCCGAAATTTGCTGAGGTGTCCCGCGCCCCCCCGGTCCCATGAGATGAAGGCAGAAGAACACCGAACAACTTCTGTTCTTAGTAACCGTTTCAAACAGCAACATCGATCCTGTATTGTCAGAAAAGAAATATTTCGGTAAACTCCCTCTTCTCTCCTATCAACACGGATGAGTAAACAATATACTGTTATGATACTTTTACTTTTTTTGTTCCTGCTGACACTGACTTGTCTGACTCTCTAATGTCATTCTCATGAAAAATGTTTGAATGTTATTTTAAAGTCCCCACTCCCTGGACTAAAATCGCACTTCCAGTTATAAGCTCACTCAAAGATCTGTACTGAAGAGCACAAACAGAATTGTATCCGTCATTATTGTGTGGTGATTTGAAAAGGAACAACAACGCAAGAAAAAAAGAAGCGGATTAAGGATATCTGTGAAGATTAAAATACTTAAGAACAAAACTTGTCACAACGCCAGAAAACGTTTCTAACGAGGGTTGTACTAAACAGTCTCTGGCACAACTCACTTGTAAGCCTGTAGCTCTTGGAATTTAAAGGTGAAAACAGAATAAAACTCTCGAAGCAGATTAGAGAACTGAACCAGCAACAAACGCGACTAACACATATGTACTGCTCTCTCCCTAAGTCGTGTCCGTGTAACGTTCGAATAACAAACCTGATCCCACAGTTACTAAGCGCCAAATTTGATATGATCAGCGACCTCTTTCGCGGAATAACATTTCATAAATCAACGAGCAAAAACACCACCAGTTTGTACAAACCTGCGTCAGACGACAAAAACAGCAGCCTAATCCTACAGAATCACCGACCCACAGGATACTGCGCTCCAATGGAGAAGAAGAAACGGCTTTTCATGAGCTGTGAACAAACGAAAAGAAAAATGACATAAGTATCTTCTTTTCCCTTCCGCGAGTAGAAAGTCGGACTTTCTCAGTACACGCACGTCACCTTCCTCGCTCGCACATTCTTCGCGCGCAAACCTCCAACTTGTACACTGTAATAAGTCCTGCTGTCTCTCCTAAGGACTAAGTACTCATGAAATAAAATTATGTACCAGCTTTACGGACTAGATATAAAGGGCGAACCTGGGCCAACGTAAGACTTCTCTTCAAACACCATGATCCCAAACTGAGTGCTTCGGGAAAATAACCATGCTTAGTCGAGTTCAAGCACTTAGGGATCATGGTGCTAGAAGGCTCATCTAACAGTAGTGGCCTTACAAAGCTAAATCACGTCTTTGAACAAAGTCAAGATCCCAACTTAATCAGAAGAAATTTCAGGTTTCTGTGCGCCGCTTAGTGAATTCCGCACTAAAGGCAAATCACACACATAAGGACTACCTGACAGTGGTGATGTTGATTTACGTGTCATTCTATTTAGCTAAGCTCCCACTCTGGGACAATGCCAGGTAACCCACACACAGGTACGGTCTTTATCTTGAGTTCCGTGGGCGAAATGACAATCCCAAGAGCAATTGTTCGGATACATATCGAGGAAAGTAGATGTGACATAAAAAACTTTTCCTTCATGGACACAGATTTTAATCTGATCTTAAAAGGTCATGCCAACTTAAAGAAAACCTTGCTTACGACTTGCAGCTAACTGCTGCGAGACTGACCGCAGCCCTCAGCTCGCACTAATTCAGTTAGTCTAACATAAAATTCAGGAAGTTATAAATCCGTCCTCTGTACCAGTGATAACTTGATAATATTGAAGTATTCTATTTGTAATGACCCCCCTCCATCGCATGTAAGAACCCTCCTGACAAGACAGATAACATTAAATTCTACATAGTTGTAGTCGTTGAGTTGTCACAGTTATGAAGTTGTCAGTTGTGTTCTACTTGTCTCGGCATAATTCACTGATCTGTGATGTTATTTTTGACCACGCAATTCCTTTTTACGATTGAGAACACTTCAATTCTGATTTGAATTTTCGCCACATCGACTATTATTTCCTGCTTCTACTTTCCCTTCATATATTTATAAGCCCATCCAGTCATAAGCCGACTCGAAAGTCTTTGCCAACATAAACACGCCTACGGCTTGGTACCCGATATTTACATCATTTTAGGTTTCTTATGCGATTTAGCATACTCTAAGCGCCTTTTTTTGTTGTCTTTTTTGACTGTGACTGTAGATAAATTTGTTTCTCGTACAGCAGACCAGTAGCTAAAACTGGGATTTAGGTTCTAACACTAAGTGCGGTTAGACTCGATAGCTTCTACCGTCAAACCTCAATTAAGCGGCCCTCTGTTAAACGGCCACCCTGTAGTAAGAGGTCACAATTCAAGTTCCTAAAATTTACATATTTACTGTATATTTAACCTCCATTAAGCGGTCACCTCTATTATATGCGGTCACCGTTTTGGCTAATTTTATTGTAATTCACCTCTGTTGAACGGTCACCTTGTTACATTAGGTGGTCAACCGGAGGCAGAGCACAGTTTTGTGGTCGCGAGGAACTTTTCCTGCCGCTAAACGAAGACAGTGCTTAACCAAATTAAGTTAAATAACACAAAACCACAGACGACCATAAATGATCTTTTCACTTGACGTTTAATGAGATGCAAAAACTGTCAACGCTGTCTGTTAGTTGATGCGTGAACTCCTTAGAGCATGTGACCACTTATATTTCGCGTTAAGGTTGTTACGAACAGTAAATGTATATTGCGTGCTTACTTTGTTCTCTTTTTCAATTTTTGCCCCATGACGCGCTAAATTTTGATCACCTTTTTTTAAACGGTCAACCTCAATTAAGCGGTCACCTGGCTATTTCTTGAGAGTGACCGCTTAATAGTTCCAGGGCTTGTTGAGATCATTGTGTTTTCTGTTCTTGATGACTAAGACTCTTTACTCCACCAGTGGATACAAATTATGGCCATCGGAAAATTCTCTAAAACAACTCAACAAAATGCGGGAAGCCTGGGAAGGACTAGAATCTCATCTAGCAGAGATAGCAATACTTCCAATCGTTCCCAAACCGGAATGAGCTGCGCAATGGCCTGGTAAATGCGATTAACCTTTTATGTCAAGAATGATGCATCTTGAAACATTGAGTCTTAATTTTGGATTTTTTCGCTCGCTACCTGTCTTCTTGCTCCTTTGGTTGTTCCTAACCTGATGGTGTTTTTCCACTCTCATAATGTATTATTTTGAGCATTGCTTTGGCTGAGGGTACATTTATACACTGCAAAACCAAGACTGCATATATCGTGACTGAAATAGCTCCTGGAACACATGCACGGACTGGGCAAGAAGCGAAGGCCGTACTTAAAAGCAAAACTCACTTACACAGGGATAACACTATAAACAAATTTTCACTTAACAAAATAAACACAATGTACCCCCTTAAAGTACACGCGATGGAAGAGAACAGCACTTGCTGTTTTCCTACGGACAACAAGGGTTGTAAAATTTCAAGGAAACTGAAGATTTCCGGAGGGGTCACTGCGCTGCATTCTGCTGTTGTAAATGGTACATAAAACGTAAGGGAAAGCAAACAGTTTAAGCGTTAACAAACAGCCCCTAAGATCGAAACCACACTGTCGCCAAATGGACATTACAAGAAAGTTTACCTTACAATGAAAACATGATAAATAGCTTGTAACTAAGGGGGAAATGTCACATTTTGATCCTTGCTGTTACTTTGAATATTCCAAGTTTTTCTTTTTTCATATAATACGCCTTAAAGATTTTGACACCTGTGCGGTGAGATAAACTGCAGACAACCCCAAATATTGTTTCTTATAATTTAGCAATCCAAAGCGAACGATGTTATTTCTTGCGATGAGAGTGTTCATTAAATTCGGCATCGAAAAGTCACCTGGTGAGCGTCCAATGTATTACAAACGTACCTGTAACTGATTATGCTGTTACTAAGTCAAAATGTTCCACACGGTGATTTGCTCTAAAATGAATCAACAGGGGGTGAAAATTGCAACCAGTGAGCACCGGTGAATTTCACTTTGCGCTCAACGTGCTCCTCTTTGGTGCGCAAATAAGATGCGCAACCATGTGCATTCATTTTAATAAACATGGTTGTCTGCGCCAGTGTTAAAAGCTTTACTACAGACCTCTGTTTCATCTCGGGTAACGTGAGCACTTAAGGCTTTTATTGACAAGCTCCAGTTCAATTAGGCTGGCAAGTCTTTATAAACGTCTGATTCTCAGTTACCCTGAATATAATGACAGCCGCAAGTCTCACAGCATTATGTTATGTTTGTTCGCTTTAAGTTTCAGTGTTTTCTTTGTCCTTTCTTTCCCTACTTATTGTTGTCGGTAATTCGTAATTTATCCGCGAAAACGGTCGTTCCATATGCAAGTTTTATCTCTCAGACAAGCCAAATGGAACTGAATGTCTATTTATGTTACCGGATGTTCAAAACTCAACGTAGAACGAGTTCTGACAACACATCGCAAAAGGAAGTAAAAAAACTTTTTGTGTTATATTGTCCAACGGTGAAAATGCTTTTTTCAGCGTACTGTCATTAAACTCGAGCCCAGCTACTTCGTCGTTCTTTAACACAGCATTTAAAAAGAGTAAATGAGACAAATGTATTAGAAAGAAACATCTTTATCAGTAAAGGCGCGAGACAAAGTGACATGAATGAATGTAAAAATACTTCATCTTTGATGTAATTTAGACTCGAACTGACAAACGCTCCGCGGCACTCCATCAATTTTGATCTTCAGCCTCGAGCGAGAAGTAGAAAAAATAAAAAGAGTGATCCGTTTCTATTCTCACAAGGACCCCACAAACGGCAGGACTCTTCCAGAATGGCACTGGCTAAAAATACCATACGCGCAACACACAAACTAACACTCGTTTCAAGAAAATGTTCATCTTCTTTAAAATTCAAATTTCGTGTCAGAAAATCGTGTTTCCAATTAAATTCACAGAAGCAGTCATAAATACATACACCGCAAATTAAGCAATAGTCACTTAGATCACTGCCATGAAAAAGATTACGATAATAAGATTACAAAATTAGGAGTAGTGCTTTGTCCCACGCGCTCGCGATAGGGTAGAGACAAATATTATGTATTCACTCACCCAAGGTTTATACTATTGAGTATTTTGTTTAAAGCAACAACTCTGGCTTAGTGGTATTGCAATAGTAGTGCTTAATGGTTTGGCACACAGCAGAAAACAGAAAACACGTGCTTTAATGGTAAAAAGACACAGCTACTTATTTCAGACTAAGTAAACGGCTTCAAAAGAGCGACACTGTCATTCCATAAACTGTTTATTCTGCATAAAGTGCGGCAAATGTTGTAATTTAAACATTTACGGCATTGTCAAGTGCCAGAAAGCACTTTCAAGCTCTCGAACCTAGCCAGAGCGAATGGTTGAAGTTAAAAGAAAGAAATTATTCACCTGCACAATCCCGGCACCTTTTAAATAAATGCACTTAGCGGAACATAGCTTATCTGCAACTTTTGTAAAGACCCTTTGTGTAGGGTTAATTCAGTTATATAGTGTGCGTGATAATATAAGACAAGCCGCCGAAAGATAGACTTTTAGACAGTGGAAAAGAATGCTAAAGAAGAACAGAAAAATAGGTTCGAAATCAACACAAAATCGCACGCAGCTGCGATGTATTGAGACGAAAATTTCAATAAATGCAAAACATTATCCTACAGCGAGCTTGTTTTTCACCAGCAAAACGCCGAACAAGAATTAAACTTCATTCACTCTAGATTTAAACCTTAAATGGAACTAATTTGCTCTAATTCACGCTAGATTAACATGTGCAATGAGTAGAGCCACATATCGCTTTGGCCGATCGAGCGTCCGGTCTGTGGGCTGCAGATGGTGTGGGATCGGTCTGCGCCTAGTCACCTAGCCACTAACAAACCTACTACATCTATCGCCACACAATTCGACAGTTTTCGAGCAATGCTATAGGTGTCTTTATGCATATCTGTCTCACTCTTTTTCATGTTTTCCCGCAATTCTGAGCGTCTAGGTTTAGTATTAAAATCGATACACTTTGGAAAACACCCACCATCGAGGTTAAGAATAACAACATAGCCTAGCCGACACCTTAAATCAACCGTACAGGAGAGTCGGCACGACGGTCCAAGCCGGTCTAAAATCAAAGTGATAATTGTTTGGACGCGCCAGGCAAAGAAAAAAAAAAAAAAGAACGGCAAATTCGTTTTTTTTTTTAAAAGCACCATTCAGAAGAGGAGTTTTTTCAAAAGCGTAATTATTACAGCACTGCAAAAGCGTTTGAATGAAAAAATAAAATCACGATTGTTGAGAACACCCTATCTCTACGGAACCTTAGAACAGATTCATTTCATTTGCACATACTACCACAAAACTTTGATTTCCGACTTCCTTAGCTTTATTTTAACTATACGAGGTAATTTTTCTAAAGGAATTTCTCGCAATGGCTTTATACTATCATCTTTTCGATTGTGAATAATCAGAAAACGTTTCATTTATTAAGAATTCTTCAGATAACACTAATTTGATTTGACTTGAACACCACCTTTTTTCTAAGGATCCGTTTGTTTTATTAAAAAGATGGACGCGAGGAACGTTCCTGTAGAATTTAGTGTAAAACAAAACGATCGTGTTGCCTTCAATCGAAATTTGCATCTGATCGAGGGGAAAACGTCGAACGTCAAGCTTTACGTTGTTTCGCTAAATTCAATTAATGATTCATGATGGTTCACATAAATTCGAATTACATTCATTTAACGAAAAACAAGCCGACAGATTGAACCACTGTTTGCCATGCTTTGGCCAGGCTCAAAAGCTCCCTACTGCATTGTGAACGCTTTCTTCAAGCGCCAAAAAATCATTACCCACCTTTTTTGAGTGTGCGGTAGCGCGGCGCTTCCAGCAGGCCTTCCTAGAACTTCCCGAGCTATTCCGGAAATTAAGAAACCTTTCGCAACTTCTTTCCACAAACCTTCCAATTACGACAACGCGCTCACTTTCCCTCGCGAAGAATCACAGGAAACCTGCAAACGCTATGGACGATTCATTCAAGAGAATCAGGTTTTTTTTTCTTCTACGTCCCTTTGGAACAAACCGCTATATCTATTGTGGACGGTCTTGTGAAGGTGAACGTGATAGGGCTACCCAACAATATCTAATTGAACCTGGCCATTGTATGAGGGCTGATTTCACTTGCAAATCTCGCAGGTGCAGAGGCGAGCTGTGAGAAATGGTTTTTCCTTGGAGTCTAATTGACAGTCGTAATTATTTTCATCAACCAAATTAACGTGTTTATTGGTTTAGACTGTCAAAAACAATTCAAATCTCTCCAACTTGTCACTGGCTAAAACGACCGTTCATCAATATCGAAACTTATGGCCAGAGACAATTTCCATCGCAAAAGGAATCTTACGGCGGGGACGTAATCAAAATTGTTAATTAGAGTAATTACCAAAGCTGTTTAAAGTTGGCTCAGTGGAGGGCACCGCTCAGACGAATTACAACTATTTCACTCGCCAGCTAAATTTCGAAAGTTAAGAGTGTTTGCCGAATTTATTCCTCGCTAAATTCTGCCATCGGGAAGGCGGTAAAATTATTTCATTTGTTGATACTGCTTTCATTACCGCGGCTCCTCTTACGACGAAACTAACAAAAGAAGAACAAAGATGTCTTTGAGAAAATCTTGTCTTCGCTCGCGACGCCTTTGGTCGGTTTAGCAACAGAAGGTTTGAGTCCTCTTTGAGAGAAACAGTGAGTGTTGATAGTTTACAAAATAACAGTGGCTCTTGTACACCAAGCCACGTGCCACAAATAGCCTAATATTCACGATGAAATGGTTTAATTTACTTAGTTGAAAAACTCATTCTTTGAAGAGAACAAAGAGGCTCAAAGATAATTTTGGATTCTTGGGGCGATATATAAACACTTGTTTAGATATAACCGACACGACACGAAAGGCTTGTTATAAGAAACAATTTCGTGGCTTTGTTAAACTGCTTCGAAGAGATAATTGCAAGCTTTTATGCGGTCTACCAAAGATCTGACGAACGAAATCACGAACCGCGACAACTTCTGAATTTTCGTGAAACTTGGTCGGTTTTCTGCCGGTAAATATCGTAAGCCGCACATTATAAAATGAATAAGCGTCAAAAAGATTTCGCGAGCAATTTAACATTGACAAATTTAGTAAACCGAGTACGACCTTGAGAGCCAAAAGAGCGATCCGAACCTAAACATTCAAAAATAGTAATAAAACGACATCAAATTTTAATTTCTCTTTGAAAGATTGGAAAGCAATTGTTCAATGTAACGAGTGCTCTAAGATATCTAGGACAATATCTTCAGAAGTCTTTTTATTTTTTCCTGTTCTTAAAGCAACTACAGTGATGTCTGGCAGCTGTTTTAAGAGAATGAAAGCTTTAGCGCAGGGTTATGGTATACTCGTCTTACAAATCAGCGTAATGAAACTCGAAAAGAAAAATTGCGACAAGATAAACACTCTGCAGATGGCACAATTTCTTCATGAAAATGATAATTTCTTCCGACAGAGATTCATTGTTAGAAAACGGCCTGGCCACGCACCAAAAAGATACCACAATACAAGCAATTTCTTCCGCTTTTTTCCTGTTTCTTTCCCGGGAGGAGAAAAAGAGAAATTTGCCCCGGAGGGCATTCCTTTGGCGCGTTTCCCTAAATAAGCTCCAAGCGGAGTCTGTAACACGGGAAGAAAAGGAATTGTTCGACATCTCACCAAGACAAACAGTCTAGATAGGGAAAGTCGCTCTTGAACATAGTGGTTTATGGAGATTATCAGCATAATCATGGTAATTGGGATAAATATGGTGGCGCGCGCGTGTGTGCGCTTTCTGTAGCACGGAACCTGTTATACACATGTTTTAAGCGAAATAAAAGACTATTGTTACTGATTCGAGTCCAATGGCAAGTCAATAATAGTAGTATCGTTCTGAAATCCAAACAAAAGGGCACGAGCAGACATGAATATTGAGGCTATTAAATAACTCCAATATCGTTCTTGTGCAGCTTTTCCATTGTTGTGTTTTTAACAACGTGGCTGAGATATTTTCTGAACATTTCTTAATCTACGCTCTGTTGTCAATCAGTTCCAATATCGAGGCAGACCGATGAATGAGAAATTCATATTTACAGCTCTTATATCGTGAAAGCCCTAAAATAACGAATTGTTTTTCTGTGCCGTTAACTTCTTCTTATGTTGTCGCGTCTTCCGAAAATGAAAAAGAATCGTGTTTTGAGTCGAGCTAAATAACCAGGAAAGCAACGAGCATGTAGAGATTTACCCAGTCAGTTTGATATTTAAGTTAATGAGCTCCAACGCTGTAATCCACACGACTTTTGCATCTGCCATAGCAATGAAACTTGTTACATTAACAGATTACTCAATAAATTAACTCAATTCGGCGAATACTTACTAAGATTTCATTTGGCGAAAAAATAACATCAACCGTCTAGTTTTCTATGAATCTAAATGAGATTTCTCTTACCGCGGACAACGAGTGACGAAGAATGAGGAACGAGGAAAAAAGAAAACTTAAGACTTAAGCACAAATTATAAACCATCCCTATAAGCTAATTATTTAGATTCTACTATCATTGGTTGTAATTTAAGTCAGAGTATGTTGAACAATTAGTGCTATGGATGTGTCTTCCGTTTTAATCCGCGGCTTGAGAGGCGCACGCGAACACTGACGTACCACGTGCGTTATTGTCCCACATGAAATTGTCAAAGTCCATCTGCCGACTTGCTTCCACTGCGCAGAATCCATCCACTTTCAGGTGGCCATTTTTGGTGTCTTTCATTATGTCTCCGCGGTATTTCTCGGTGCGACTTTTTTTAACACCTTCAACACACTTTTATGGCGATATACCTGCTTTTTAACAAAAACTAGGCAACAATTGTACAAAAATAAAACACCACGTTTTTCACCTGTTCTTGGCAGCGGTAGATTTTTGACTCATTGTTACTCGAATGTTGCACTATTAAAACAGAGAGAAATAAAAAAAGTAAGCGCTTTATTGAGTCGCTGTGATTTCAGCCACACTGTAGCACTTTGCTTCTAAACTCGCACCTTCATGTTATAACTTAATTAGAACTAATTGACAAGCCTAGAAGATTCATGGCTATCTTTTCTTGGACTCTTAATTAAATCGGCTCACTTTTCCTGATTCATGCAGGCCATGTTGTCAAAAGATAATAAAAAGTAAGTGAAAACAAGACAAGCTCCCGCAGTTATCCTTAAGATGGATGACAATTCAATGCATGTAACACAAAATCTCAGGGTCTTAGTGAGAAAAAGGAACATTGTATATTATAAGCCATATTTTTCGAGCCACGTAGTCCAATGGAAACAGAAACTGCTACCAGAAAGCTCAGGACGTTGGACAGAGAAATCGAGGATAATTTTCCGCTAACTGTTTGCCAAGGGCGCAATTTAGTTGCTTCGAATACCGTAATCGGGAGTTTTAAAAAATCGAGGGCTCGAAAAATCAGAATTAACAACTAACAATTGTAGAACATGAGCAAAGTCAGAGAGCTTTTCATTTTAAGCTAGTTATCCTTCAAACTTGAAAGTGAAAGAATGTTTCTAGGCTGCATAGCATTCGTTTACAAAATTGTCATCGTTCATTGGTGATTTCCAAGTGTTAACAGTAGCCTAATAATCGTGTAAAGAACATAGTTAAACTTTCTTTTTTGTTCTTACTAGAGATAGGGTACGACTGAACTTGGGCAATGAAAAGTTGCACTTACGTGTGTTCCGCAAAATTGTTGTTACAAGACTGCAAACAGACGATGGTTACACAGAAAAAGAACCGGGAGGTTTGCAATAAAGCTTCAAGAACCGCTTGCTTACCTTAAAGACGAGAGAGAAGGAGAATAAAGTCTTACTTCCTTACTTCTTACTTCTTGGACTGGCTTGAAAAGAAGTGTTCTCTTTGTAGGGGTACAAGACAAGTGTGTGAACAAGTTCATGTGTATACCTGACAAAGATGAATAGAAAAACACTCACTTAGTTGAGTAAATCAGTTTGTACCTGCCCTTAGCCACGGCCCCTTCTTCTGCCCATTGTTCTACAGTTGATTAAACATCTGCATGCCATTTTAACAGCAAACAGCGGTCCTGGTGCTTCTAGTAAAGCATGAGATTTTTGCATTGTAGATGGCTTACTAGGAGCAGAGCTACGAACTCAATCAATCAATCAGTCGACTTTATTAAGAGAGGATGACACATGACAGTATAAACTGATAAACAAGGGGCACTCCGTGCTGCACGGTGCTGTAGTTTTGTGTTTAGCTAACAACAAACATTTCCTAACAAAATGTATATTTTTTGTGACAAGAAAAGGTACATGATTTCTACATCCGCGTTTTTAAAAAATTCAAACTAATGTTTACCTTATCTCAAAAGAACAACCGAAAATCCAGATGTCATGTAATAAATTTTACTTAATTAGCGCTGGATTTGTGTTATAAATGATATGCAGTGAAACCTTCCTAATACGGACACCGGTAGAAGGACCAGACCCGATTGTATGCATTACAGAGGTGCTCGTATTGATAGAGGCTGCAACGGGGCGTAATTTATATGAATTTTGGCCTCACCAAGACCAAGTGATAACGAGGTGGCCATAAATGTTTCATAATAAGACAGTGAAAGTTCTAATAAATGCTAATGAAATTACCCTTCTTGTATGCCTAATGTACTGTACTACACCTACTAATGTCTCTGAGTGTAGAATTCCCAGTGATATAAGCCAGAGCAGAAACTTACCTCTCCGGTCATGCTTTCATTTCACCCCGTGAGAGTTGAGAGAGTTTTCGGGTCTGATCTCAGACACCGCTGTAACATAGGAAAGAAAAACGCTCTCGAAGAAACGTCTGTATGTTTACTCAGACCGACTTGACGCGTGTTCAGCAGTGTACCGCAAAATCCGTCCAGCTGAAACAAAAAAGAGATGAATTTCAGAGAGGGTTAATATATTCTTATTGCTCCTTATCTTCGTTCATAAACGTGTTTTCGTTTACACTATCATAGACTCAATAATCTTTTCAAAAAGTAACAAAGTCACCTGCATTGCTAGTATTACAGATTACACATGGCGTTAGTACCTGCTCACATCCTGTAATTCTTGTTGTGTGAAAGAGATGGTACGGATGGTACATTACGACATGTCCTACGGATGGAAACGGACTTACTGCCGTCACTGCTAAGCGCTGCATTGGCGCGGGATGGTTGCTCCAAGATAGACCAACGGTAAAAAAAGGTATGCCAAAGGTCACCTGGGGAAGGACATTTGAAAGAAAGTTAAAGGTGCGAAGCCTTCAACCTCAAAAGAGTTGTGGGTCGATGGGTAGAGGATTAACAACAGTGAAGACCCCACGCGCGTGCCACTTTGCACACCACAGATCCTGAGTCGTGCTGAGTGAATGTAGACTGGTTGTAATGATCGAGCACCGTACACTGAGATATGCCTACAATTACAGAAATCTCACAGCTGTCTTCAACTGTTGAAGCGGCTTTCTATATCTACATATGCACAAATTTTGGAAGGGACAAACCAAAGTCTCTTCACAGACGTTTATTTTTCTCCACCCTCTTGTGTTTTGACTCGTTGATATCACACACGCCGGGTTAATATTTTGCCAAGCTTGCGGTCTTGACGAACTCAAGACAAAATAGAGAGACTGTGGACAGACTTGACCAATCACGCTAAGTAGAATACATATATCTTATCATTCAAGCGCGGAGGCCGTGCTGGGAGAATATCGGCCCGCGAGGTCTCGATAACACGGAACGACTGCAACGAGGTCCGTACAGAAAAGATCGAGGGCCGATATTCTCCCATCACGGTCCTGGACAAGCCTGGTTAATAAGAGGTTTATGACACGACTGAAAATGTTTAAAAAAAAAATGCCACGATCGCGGACTGGGAAAAACATTGCAAACTTCAACTGGGCAATTCTGATTGGAGCCGACTGGGCGTATACTCACGCCTGATGTTAAATAAAATAGAAGGGAAAGAGAGTTGAAAGAAAAAGAAACGGGATCTTTCATTGAAAACAAGTTCTTTTAGAAACGAAAGCCATAAAACTACCAGAAAATCTTCAAGAGTGATCGTACGGGATCATTCGGAGCAGTACCCGGTCATACTTAGAGAAATAAGACCGGCGATGGAGCAATCTGATAAATGAGTGATTGGTTGATTTTAGTTATGGGCCCTCTGAACTAACCTGTAATTTATTATCGGGCGGGCCGATATTCTCCCATAAAGACCCTCGCGCTTGTATTTTGATGGTTGCGCAGCAATCCTAACCACTGGATGGAAGTAAGGCATTGGGCAGTCTGCGTCACAGCCTCCCCGGCCTCGAAAGCAAAAAATCGGATCTGCGATTTCGTCTTTCGGGAAGGGCGCCTGTTACACAGGCTAGGCACGAGTCATAAAACTATTCAAACAGCGGGCGTGTCAAAATGGTCAGCTAAGAAGGCAGATCGCTCGTGATCGGTGACAACGTCTGGAAAGCCTCCATCGCATATCGGGAAAGGCAAAAAGTCTGGCAGTCACAGTCTCCTTCGCAAACGTTTTGCGTGACACACGAGCCATCAATCCCAAATTAAGCTGAGACTTGGTAGCCGTTTACGAAGCACTTCAAGATCGCACCCGCGCTGAGGATGAAAGCTCTGGTACAGCCTGCGAACAGGCTCCCGGTGAGGACGCGGACGGAAAAAATTTCGGCGATCGCGAAACAGAAGAATTCGGAGAGCGAAGCGATCGGGGTGGTACAGGGCTCACCGGGAGCCTGTTCGCAGGCTAGCTCTGGTATTCTGGGCGCGCTCAAAGGAAAACGTCAGTGTTTTTCGATATTTTATGACGTCAACATGAACACAAAAAGCAAAACTGACAGTGAAATTTCTCGCGTTTCCTTCGGTGAAATTCCCTAAAATTTGGCAGACTGGTAGTAAACATTTTACTTTAATCGGAGCTCGTCTTTCAGGGAAATCTACCCGACCAGTTTTTCGCAGCGGTAAAAGACATAAATTCGTAAAAATCGAAAAAACTGTCAGCACAGACCCTACTTTTTTCGTGTTTAAAATTCGTGTCCCGTAGGATGCCATGTACTGTGAAAAAAAGTAAAAAACACATTTGTTTGGACATCTATAATTCAAAACTAAAACCCAAAATTTTAACAGAGATGATAATAAAACACTATTTAATCATTGCTTGTTACATGTAATAAGTTTGAGAGGACTGGGTGTAAAAACGAATGCAAAAACGGCATTCAAAACAAAACAAAACACTTGCGCGCGAAACGCCATACAGGATCACCCTATGAAGCCACCCCCAGCAAACGAAAACTGCATGGCAATTAAGCAGGCGTCATTGATCAAGAATATCGCGACTCATTTCCTAGACAAAGCCGCCATTCATGCAAGTTTTAAGACGCCGCTTTAGCTTATTATGTCCTGCTAAGGAAGCTGTTTAAACAAGCGTCGTAGACGAACTCAATCACCGGTTGAGTTTTGCTGCGACGTAGGCTAGGTTAGTTTAAGAGTTTCTTTTTACCTCGATGTAGACTTGCAGTTTCCACCAGGTCCTGATCATTTCGCGGGGTCAATCTACGAGTCTCGTGTTTCTAATTTCGTCTTCGTTTACAACCATGAGGCGACAATTTGATATCACCATAAATGTTTAAAAACATTCGCTATGTAGAAGTATCGGGACTAAAACTTACCGTTTTTTGCATGTCTGTGAACATCGTTCGTCTTTTGACTCGTGAAAATCGAGGTAAGACCAAGACCCTGGCAAAATTCGTAGGCCGTAGAGACTAAGCGCTGCAAAGCGCATCTTCGCGAATTAAAATACCACCTCCGCGATAGCAAGATTCGAAGAAAATCCTTCCAGGATAATTCGAATTACTTAACAACAAAACAGAACTGCAATTTGGATATAAACAGAAGAAGTCTCAGCAGTGAAGTGGCCAGAGAAACATAGAAGAGCATTGACCTCCGTCATACAATGCGAGGGTAATGCGAGTGATGACAGATGTAAAACGGCTACCGCAGTTTCCCACTCAAATTTCGCGCCTTTGTGTGTCGCGCTCACGTTGCATTTCGATCCTC